CGGCAAAGGAGGTGGCAAAAGGAGCAAGGTAAGCAATTCGAAACAGTCCGCGTGAAGCACTTCTATCGAAAGAGAGGTCTTCCACGGGGTTGAGTTACTGCCTTATGTCGGTTGCACGTGGCCTACGTCTATGGCCGATACTTTTGCATATTTTCTGCGACGTCTACTATTATGAGTGAAAATCCGAAATTTTAACTAATTTCTGTTTCAGTTCTCCTAATGGGCAATGCACCTCATCGTGTTCTGCTGGTCTAGAAGTAATAACGGTCGGGGCAAGGTAGATGTGCCAAAAATTTCTCGAAATAGTTAAAGCGTTGTCAAATGCTTCTGTTCGTAGAGCTGTTGGGCTATTAATTCCCCTAGACTGCCAACAGACTGACCTTAAGTGTACCGGGAGGTTATTTTGCGAATCTTCCGCTGCCATCTACTTTGAGCGTTCGAGAAGTTGAATCTTTTCCAAGCCAGTGTTACTTCACTTCACCGTCTCTCTCTCTCTCCCACCTACTACCCCTAAAACCACATTATCCAGCGCTTGGGGGAGCACTAAATCTACAAACGAGTGCATTAACATCTGCTTGGGCGACCAACATCCTCCTAAGATTTCAGCGCTCTAGCTTCTCAGATCCACGAGTTTGGAGCATAGGTAAAAACAACTGTGTTGTAGCACAGGTAAAAACAACTAGATGAGGTAGTAGCTGTATAGATTGAGGACCAGAATGTTGTGAATTATTAGCTGTTCAAAGGACTCCCTTTCCGCGTCTGTTTTTCAACACATCGCTTTTGTATTGTTGTTTTTTTGGTGTAAGGTGACAAAATTTTTCACTCATCCTTTACGTAATATGCGTTTTTCTTATGCCGTCAAGCATGATGCAGTGAGGTAACATTGTTGTTGTGCAATGGGTCGAATTTTCGGCTCTGCCAGTTGGACAGTCAATCTCCCTACAATTCGTTTCGGTGGTAAATTGATACTAACATACGTCAGGAAGCCAAATGGTCACGCTAACAGCTTGTTTATAAGCAGTCGTCGGGGAATCTTCAGCAGCCTTGCAAGCATGTGGTTGTTGTTGGCATTTACTACCAGTTGGGTTACTTCACGAGTGCCTTCGTCTCTTACTGACGGCGAAATACGGAGGGGATTTTGATTTCTAATTTTCACTTGCATGATATAGGAGCGAAAGGTAGCGCGTTGATGAAGCAGCTGGACCTCGGGCATTTGGGTATGTTCAGCCCGACTGTTTATATCTAGACATTTTCTGTATTTTTAGTTTTTTTCCTCTGTTTTTCATCTGAGGACGAACACGGACGAGGTTTTAAGTTACTGGAAAAAAATGCAGTTTAGAAAAAGACGTTTTGATTTTAAGTATCCAGTTTACAGCCCGAGCTCTAAAACGACTCTTCAGGCGAACATAACGATTCCATGAGACATTAATGAGAGTCATTTATGATTAGGGAAAGAGACAGTTAATGCTCAGACGAAAAAATTATCAAAATATGAATAGTGTAATGTCAGAAGCATCATTACCGGATTCTTCGGAAGCATGTCACGATGAATGGTTTTTAAAGAGAATTGTCTGCTTTTACAGTGCATTTTTTGCACGATCCTTCGGTGTTTACAGGCTGAGCAACACGAACACAAGCATCCGCATCCGGGAAATGATACCAGAAAGATCGTCAATTACTGCGTCAGTGGCCAGGAGAAGAGGAAAGAGCCTCCGAGCAATGCTAAGAAGGAATAGTTCGCGCCGTACCTCAGGATCGTCATAAACGGACATTCTCGAATTTTCAATCTTAGAATGTTCAAAATCACTTTTCAGCTTGTTCATTTGCTGGTTGCACTAACATACCTGGTAGTTTTGTATTTTTGATGTTTGAGCTTTTAATGTTTACCAACTAGAAATTCGACGGAGAAACTCAGGGCACATGCACAAATCTATGGTTTATGTGTATCGATAATCCCTCACAGTATTATCGCGAGACCCATCCCTTTACAAACAAGCGTATTCGGATGAGTGTAAACTCGATTTCGAAGGGAAATTCATGCACTTTTTTGAGGAAAAAATGGAACAAAGTGGAGGATTCCTAAAAAGGACGCTAACGTACTGGAAAAAAAGTAGGAAAGGATGCGAGTTGAGGATCCTTTCCTGCCCAGTGATTTATGACGTGCTTTTTTAATACTGCCTTATACAGGTGGTTGATAAATGAATTTATAGAAATCTCAAAAAATTTATAAAAAAATTTATAGAAATTTCTTAATATTGCGCATTCGTTCTCGAAGTGATCACGCGAATCAACCCGAAAGGAGCTTTATGAAAGAACAGGAGACGTTAAATTTATTAGAAAAATAGGAATCCATGCGAGTTGAGCATTCTTTTCTGCTCAGTGATTTATGACGCGCTTTTTTAATACTCACTTATATGAATGGATTTATAAATGAATTTACAAAAATCTTAAATTATTTAATATTGCGCATTCGTTCTCGAAGTGTTCACAAGGAACAGATATGCCGCTTCATCAAAATGTCATGAGGGTTCACTTCCTGAATCATGCCTGTTATCTCACAGATGTTCAATTACAACTTAATTATTCTCACTAACAAGATGAAAATGCAATTATGCAGTCGAAGGAATCGTTGTCCAATTTGTGAGAATTGATGCAAGTGTCTTAGAGTTCATCCACCGCTTTTTTCCTTTCGTTTTATCTGTTGGGCTGGTCATTTCAGTAGATTTTATGACGCTATGTAATCTGTTTTGTTCTTGTTTTGTCAGATAAAAGTATTACACATACACATGGGGAACTTGAGTTTGACACTTATTGCGACTTTTGCTGGCAACCAATGAGACTTCACAGGACAGTTGCATTCTAAGGCCCAGGCGTCTGACGAGAACTGGGTTCAGCAGCGTGATACAGAACAAGTCCCCGGAAAGACGTCGATTCCTCGACGCTTGTCAACGCAGCCAAATGCGCAATTCAAATTGTCCAGTATGGGGAAACAAACGAACAAAAATGTGTATTTCCTATTCGTAATTTAACCCAACAAGCGACGAGTCAGGTTTGCCAGTGCAACGATGCGTTTTTGTGTTAAACTTGAAGCAGAGAGAACATTAACAGCATGAGTGGTTGCCGTTTTACAGTCCGACACATGCGCCCATGTTGGCCGTGTTTTGGCTTTTTCTTGCATGATTGTTGGTGGGACGGCAGTGTTGCATCATGGGGCCGCATGAATCTCCAGCATGTATGATTATCGATTTTGCGTGAACAGGGATGAAAGGTTTACGGTGGCTGGCGGTTAATTGAAAATGCAAACTGATAACAAACAAGAATCGGGAAGAGAAGGATGACGAAATTTGCAAAATGCACATGCTTTTGAGGGGTTAGGGTAAATCGAGCGTTTGACAAAATCCAATTTTATGCGCAAGTGCAGTATTTCAAGGGAAGTTATCCAATCAAAAGGTGATAGATCAGTACGCAAGTTAAACTTATTCTGCGTGAAAACGTCAACGGTGTGATTTCATTCTTTCAGAAATAATCTACTTGTTTTTGTTGTTTAAAAAACCAAAGATGCAAATTTCTTTTTTGAAAAACTGATAACAGAAACGAAAAAAAAAAACAATGCAT